CCGATTTTCTCTTTTAGGAAAATAAATAAATATATTTTTGAAACAAGTTTAACAAACTAGTTTTAATTACAATTGGATAGTCTCGCTTTTAATTTTTTAATGGTAAACGGATATGTTCACAAATACTTAAAGATGTCAATGTTCAAATATCGAACATAGTTATTCCCATAGTTTTAGTTACTGCAAATTGAAATAAAGTTAAATTTATCATAAATGGTCTCTCGCAATAATTTTTGTTGATTAAATTATGTAGTATTAGTCCTCAATTTTGAATGGATTTCCCTTCAAATTATATAAAAATCAGACCAAATTGAACCATATCGCAATATTTTATTAGAATCTACTACATAATATTTTTCATCTTCCAGATTACCCTCGGCTAGACATTTCTTATCAAGGAATTTTTGTAACATTTTCGCTATAATTTCGAAAAGCCAATCAGAAAATTGTTTGATTGTTAAAATTTAATTATTATATTTTTACTAGCTCTGAATAGATATTAGTTTTGTCTGATTTATGGAAATACATAGAACGAAGACTCTTTTAATGCATTTTTGTTTCCCTTCGACATACAATGATTGATTGAAATCTTTTAAATAAATTTCTTCACAATCCTAAAATGTTTGTTTTTAAAAAAGTTAGGATACTGTCCTTTCGAATACCTTTAGGATAGAACTTTTTTCCCTTATGATAATCGCCGACTCAAATTAGTTACATATGCCTAATACAACTGCAATGTACGAGAGTCCGCGGATTTTAGAACATGGTAAAAAGCGACTGAAGTTGCTGATGTGTGTGCTTGATTCACATCATTGCAGTGATTTGATTCACATTTTTAAAAGGCAAATCGTGCAAAATCAAAATTAAATTAAAGAGCGCAAGGCTCAGGTGCCCAAAAATTGGCTATCACGGATAATAACGGGAAACAAGTAAATATCCCGTATTTGCAGACCAACGAATGTAGGTGCGCTAGATAGCTGGGACGGTAAGCATGTCAAAAGCCCGCGTGAGTTTTATTCTGCATGAAATATCATGAGTGACTAGGGATGGAAAACTCGATTCCGATTTATCTAATAAAATAATCAATTTTTTGGAGTCGACCTTTACCTTCCGAAATCGATCGATCGAGAATCGATTCTTGACATTCGATTTTAAGGTTAGGTAAATAGTTTCAAGGTCTACATACCAATATAATGTCATAACAAACCGTGTGATAAAAAGTCATACAAACATGTATTTATTTATTTCCAATAGTTATTATTTATATATTTATAACTAAATATTATTATATTTCCAATATATTATTTATATATTAGGTCAAGTAAAAGGTTTGTTCGGTTTTTTATTGATTTTTCAAAAGATGATAACTTTGTGTACATTTATCCGATTTAAGTCAAATACTTGTATGCGCCGTTTTGTTCGTAAACTTGTTGCCAACGAGATGCCAACTTCATTATAAGAACAGAAAAGATGGTAATCACTTGGTGCCAGGTCCGGACTATAAGGTGGGTGCATTAGGACCTCCCATCCGAGCTCCCGGTGCTTCTGGCGCGTCACCAAAGACGTGTGTGGCCTGGCGTTGTCCTGATGGAACACAATTCGGCCTCTGTTGATCAAAGATGGCCTCTTCTGGATGAGTGCTGCCTTCAAGCGGTCCAGTTGTTGGCAGTAGAGGGCCGAATTGAGCGTTTGGCCATAGGGGAGCAGCTCGTAGTAGATGATTCCTTGCCAATCCTTCCAAACACACAGCAAAACCTTCCTGGCCGTCAATCAGGTCTTGGCCACCGTCTGGGCCGCTTCCCCGAGCTTTGACCACGTCCGTTTGCGCTCGATTTTGTCGTAAGTGCCCCATTTTTCATCGCCAGTCACAATCAGCTTTAGAAGTGGGTCTATTTGTTACGATTCAGCAGCGATTCGCAAATGGCAATTCGGTCCATCGTGTTTTTTTGCGTTAGTTCGTGTGGCACCCAAACAACGAGCTTCTTTTTGAATCCAAAGTTATGCAAATGGTTCCAAACGGTTTTCTAGCTTATCTTTAGTTCCTCAGCAATTAAATAAGTGCTCACGTGACGGTCTGTTTCCACTATTTCCATGATTTTATCGCAATTTTCGACGACAGGCTTTCCGACGCGTGGTGCATCTTTGACATCGAAATTACCGGAACGGAACCTAGTAAACCACTTTTGTGCTACACGTTCATTTACAATATCGGGCCCATAAACTAAATTAATTTTTTCAGTCGCTTTGGCTGCTTTTTCGCCTTGATCGGAGAAAAATTTTAAAATATAGTGAATATTTTGCCAGCCCAAATGTCAGTTGACAATTTGTTTACATTCCATAATTGGCCTAAACGTACCCTACAAGAAACTGCTGATGGGTTCACCAATACACTCACATTTGATATGTCAGTACTGTTAATTTACATTTGAATTTTTAAATTCAGAACTATCCACTGATTAGAGAAAGACGTACGCAGAGCTATTGAGAGGAAGAGATGGCATCAAGTAAACAAATAGATGTGTGAACTGTCAATGAAAACTCATCGAAAACACACAATGTCGGTCAGAACGACTTTGGTTCCCCAATCCACAAATTGTGTTTTCAAGAGGATTTCAATCCGGCGCGAACATAGTATAAAAGTCGATTAGTTTGATTAAACATCTGAATAAAACACACAAAATTTATTTATTATTTAATTTTTATGCTTTATTATTTAATAAATTTGAATTACTCGTTCATGGCATTTTATTAACTATAAAAATTATTGATATTTTAAAATAGAATCAATTAAAATTGAAATAATCGATTTTTGTACTCGAGTAATCGATTCTTAGGAGCGATAAATATAAAATCCAAATTGGACTCCATAATCGATTCTTTATAAAATGTTTGTATACCTATGAGCGTAGTTTCATGATCGTTGACCAAGAACCAGCTCCCATCTCCGCGGTTGCCACGTCAAAGTTTATTACAGTAGGTTACGAACTTTGATCAGTACGGAGTTTGTCTTTATGTGTACCTCATAAGACTGAAAACTAATTAAATAAATGACCTCAGTCAAAAAAAAGAGTTAATTTAATATCTTTAATATTGTTAAAATATTTTAAAAGAAGTATCGTTAAATATCCAGTGGTATTATTGACTAAAAATTTGTAATTTTTCTGTTCAAATGCCTATAACTTTTGAGGGACATAACGAAAACCCCTTATATGAACAAGCAAATTTTTTACATTGAGTACCTTAAGGGGTTACATGGGTTTCGCGGCTTCAAAAATGTTTTATTGTTTTATTTAATTCTATAACATCTCTAGAAATCCCAAATTCTCAAAAGTTGCGCGCTCGAGGTCAGTTATATTGTCACTAAAAACTTTAAACGCGGTTTTTCTCATAACTGTGTTTTCAAAGTAGGTTGTCAAGATTTCTCGCGAACTACTCAACCGATCTTGGTGAAATTTTATACAAGAGATACAATTTACTCGTGGTTGGACGAAGTATTTTTTTTTTCAATTACAGCTATTTAAAAAATGTCGAGCAAATTTGACCGAAATTTTCCTTTTTTTTTTAAAGGTCTGCCAAAATTCCAATTTGAACTTGTTTTTTTCCTTCGTTCAAGTACGAGTTTATGGTCTTAATTAAAACACATATATTTTTTCTTCATTTTAAATGATCCTGTCAGGAGTAATGCTGACAACGCGGACGCACTTTTGTTTCGAGGGGTCACCGGAAATGACGTTACAATGGCGAAGTTTTAATTTTTTTATTTATGTATATAAAAAAAAATTATTGAAAATAGGCCGTTTTTTACCCGACGAAACCCATGTAACCCCTTAAATAACGAACAACAGGATTTGTCAGTACTCGATTAAACGAACAACATGAAGAAGACAGAGTATGTAGAAAGAGTCGAAAAACAAATTGTGATGAAAACAGAACCCAAAACAGGACATGAAAACAATGTTAAAGAAACAATTACTATATTAATGTTTCTTTAGGTTTTGTATTTCTTTCCTTTTCAACTAAGTGTAAAAGCAGTGTAATTTTGTTGAAGAGTATGATCTTCTTATTTCGTCATTCTTAAGACAAAATGAGGATACTTTGGCAATAAGGAATGAAGTTATATTGTTGAGTTCGGCTTTTCCAAATGTAAATAACGCTAAATTATATGCTTATTTTTATAAAATATTTTCAGCTTTAATTCACAGTCAGCGATTTGTATGGATGGGTTGTGCATCACGAAAAAAATTAATGAAAGTACACATGATTTTATTCCCGCTTCAGCGGCCATACCCCTCAATTAATATTCTTTTATATACATATAATATATAAAGCCTAATCTTTTTCACATACGCTACAATTTCATAATAATATAGCGCCATCTGCTCATCTAATGCATGTGTTATATCAACGTCATGTCAAAAGTAGGTGTCGCTGTAAAGTAGAGTTAACGGAAAAATTTATTATTTTCAATTTTGCAAGTAATTTCTCCACTTATTATAAAGTGATGCGAGTGCGGAGTGTAAAAACAAAGCTTCCGAGTATGAAATGCAATTTTTAAAATAAGGATCTGCGAAATTAAAAAGTTGTTGCAAAACAATGTATGTATATGCAAGAACCAACCGGAAACCTCCACTGTCGCTATGATTTCAAACTGACAAAACACTTGCAAAACTTTACCCATACCTCTTCCCCTTAACATACTCTCTTCATGTCGAAGACGTTCTAGAAGTCAAAGCACCACCAATCACAGATCATGAACTCGAGTCATATACAAATCAATAAAACCAACAGACAAACCAAAAAACTTTTGTGTCTTCCGTGTAAAATATACGTTTTTATTATATTATATATATAGATATATATTTTTTGTAATTGCCCATAGAAATATGTTTATAAATGTATATATGTTATTAAAATTATTAGAAATATTTAATGATTGTTAGTTTTGTTTTGCCGCATAATTCTCAGCAATTGGTGTAAGCTAAATATAAGAATAAGTTGAATAGATAGTTGAAATGTTTCTTGTAGAATCGTAATATACAAACTAAGGTAGGATACTTATTAGTTTAATTCATTGTTAAATAAGAGATGTCAATATTCACACCTAATTAGTTGTTTTGTATAGTATGAAGTGCACCTTCATCAACAGAAAAGGAATTCAAGCGTTTACTGCAAAATAGCTCAAATTTGAGGGCATTGGGCATCCAAAGTAAAATGTCAGTCATCAATTTGAAATTCATAATATTTGTGTATATGTGTTGGTTTTAATTTGATAAAGTCTGAAATTAATTTACCTTCCATCTCTTTTAGTTTTTTAAGTAATTTCATAAGGAACATTTTTAAATATAAATTACTGAGCCATTCGAGGCGTCATATGTAATCAGGCACTTTAGTGTTTTCGAAACAAAAAAGTAGCTGTATATTATCCACTCAACAACTTCTGCAAATTTCATTATAATTATTGCCCTACTAACTCAATAGACATTTAGCTTTCGGCTAAATTGTGATTCATAACCTTTCATATCATTCAATCATAGCGCAAATTTAGAACAACTTCACTCCTTTGGAATATGCCGCAGTGTTTTATGATCACAACATTGTGATGCGTCTAAATTGACGAATTCCATTCAATATAATCATTCCAATGATTTCAAAATTCAGAATTACGGCATTTGTGACACCAATACACTAGACCATTCTAGTAATGGCTGGTTTCATATCCATATATGCTATTTATTTTCCAAACGCTTTTTGCAGTTTCACCTTCTCCGTTCAATTAATTTTAAAATCTAAATAATTTAATTGCCTTCACCTCTAAATTAAGTGTTCTACCATCGCCTCTCCATCCCAATTATTCCACTTTGCATCTTATTAGGAAATTTTATTGGGTTTGTAATTTCCCACCAATATGAACCAATTTCGAATGCATTGGATACCTTCCTAAATGATAAGCTATCAACTTGAGCAGTAGGAGGGTCATATTATAAGTCGCCATGTTAGTTTCTACCCTATCCTAAGGAGCAACCGATAGCAAGTATTTCAAATCGGCGGAGGACCACGTATGTAGCGCAATTGAGGCGTAAAACTCATTGATAAATTGTTGAGGTTGTCACAACAGTTGGGCTGCATTAGGCAAGCGGCGCATAGGAAGGTTATTAGAGCCAGTTGCATGGGCACGGCTGCTTTTGCAATGCGCCAAGCCCAACTATTATGGGTCACCTTATTATTTTTATTGTTTGATGTGTCCAAATCAAATTCGATATCTGGATCATCAGCGGGGTCACCAGAGTCCGGGGCAGCGGCAGACATATAACTACGTACTTCCGCGGCATCCAAATTATTATTGGTGATTCCGCCATTGTTGTTATCTACGTTGTTATCGGACCCTGAAGGTCTTTTGTTCTGCTTACGTCGGCCATTTCTTGTTGATGCTGCTTTATATTGAATAGCGCTATTTTGATCATGAATTAGACTTTCTTTTTTTCCACAGCTATTGTCATTAGTTTTAGAAGTCTCAGTGCCTTTGACGGCAATGTCAGTTACAGGTACGAGTTGTTGTTGTGCTTCGGTTTTCTGCAATTTTTGTTGAATTTTTTTATTTTGGTGCGAGGCAGCTGTGCGCACAATCAAATCACGACAAGTGTTTTGCAAATTCTTGAGTTCTGCTTCAGCCGATTCCATGCGCACAGCAATAGATTTCATTGCTTCACTACCAGGTGCTAGAGCCAGCTCCAGTTGCTTTACTAATCGTCGTAATACTCCGAGTCGGCGTTCACGCTCAGACAACCCGCCATCAGAAGTTGCGCCACCGTCCGAAATGCCAGAATCCGAAAGGGAACCATTTGAAGCAGTGAATTTTGCAATATGTAATATGTGGTTAGGATCCAAATGTTCCCGAACTGCAGTGAGCTATATATCAAAATAATGAATTCCAATTGAATAACTTTTAAGAGGATAGAGTAATAACTGCAGGTACTTACCTGTTCTTCGCTAACATTTACACGCTCCGAAAGTAATTTGGCAACGACTTTCACATTCTGTGCGAGCTCCACTGGTGTTGCTTGACCTTTATCTAGAACGCCCTCCAGACCTTTCAGTGTACCACGATCATGACCGAGTGCTTGCTGAAATTCGTACAGACCACTTTCTAACTGCTTCCAAGCCAGCAACGAGTTTGTAAGTGTCTCCAATTGTGTGTTTATTCTGTAAAATGAGAAACCCGAAAATTTTGATGTTGACTGGAATTTGCCGTCAAAAAAGCAACTGTGACAATTTATTACCTAGCGTCAGCATCATCCCACGCACTGTACATTCCACTTACTTCGTTCTTCAAATGCTTATGGAATTCGTTCTCCGCGTTTATTAATGTTTGTATGTCCAACACTTTTGCATTGCTACCAACAGTGCTAGTCGCAATCGAAGAGGACATATTCTTTGTAGCGTCATTTATATTTGTAGTCACTATATTTGTTTCCCCTTGCAGGGTTACAGGTGATGAACACTTTGCAACATCTCCTTCGGCGACACTGGGCATAATATGGCTACTAAGCGGTTCAACATATACTTTTTCAGAATCTTTCAATTGCTCCGCTGCTATGGCATTCTGCAAGCGTCTTTCTTGACGTGTCAACCAACTGTGCACACTGGCGTTCAGTCGAAGCATATTTGTGCGGTAATTTTGCAGTTCTGATTTCTCATTCTACAAGATAGTCAGTCGATAAGTCAAGCAATTTATAAGCCAACTGAACAATTCAAATGCTTACCTTTAAAGCCTCGATGGCGACTTGGATTTGGGGCTCCGTATCCAGTAGCTCAAATATGCCATTATCACCCAATTTGCTAAGAGAGTGCTTAAGGGTGATCATCTCTTCTTGCATTTTACGAGCAGAGGCAGCATTTTCACTCCAGCTCAGAAGATCCTCCCAAGCCGCTAGTAAATCTGAAATTAAAATACATTGTAGCCGGGTGAATGAATCGAATCGGATGTGAGTATCCAAGCAACTACAAAATCAACGAACCAACTCCGAATTAATTAAGTTCAACGGTTCTCTCAAACGGAACGTTTACGCACGAATTACGCTAACCACCTGACCGTGCCGATTGCTATACTACTATAGTTAGTGCCTCAATTAAAAATAGCAACAAACACTGAATGTATACGTTCAAGGGCGAAGAATCGCGATGATGACGGAATATAATCAAAAAAGCAGGACAGGGAATTATGTACTTATATTCACATGAATGAACTTCAGTTGTATATTTTATCTGTAAACACCGTTTGGCGAAGAATCCCGGTAAAAACACAAACACATAGAAATCGCAACTTCGTATGGTTATCGAGCGCGAAATTTAAATCGCATATGCGACCGCACCTTGCGAAGCACGACTGCGTACTGATCGTCCGTGCTTCAGAAGCACTTACATTGAGTAGGTTGTTGCTGAAAGACATCCAACACAGAGCAGGCAATCGAAATGTAATCAAGTTCGGTGCGCTGGAGCAAGTAATGAGTCAGAACTCGACAAGCCAAACTGGCAATTTGCATAGTTAAATGAACTACTACGAGAGTTTTCTTCGCAACACAAGGCCACAGCAAAAATTCAAGTTCGATGGTTATATGCATTCGAGCTCAGTTACCTGATTATGATGCAAGCAATGTAGAAGTGGTTCGGGAAGCTATTTGTCTATATTTACCCATAGGTTGTGTTGATATTTTTAGGAAAACCAGGTAGTATTCATATCTACGTATCTACATACACATGTATGGGTTTGTTAAACAAATTTCTAGTTGAGACCTAAAATAAGTTTACCTGACTAAAAAACGAAAAGAGATGAAAGAGCACAAATAATATTGTTTGAAATCCTGGAGCCGAAACAGTAATATTGTGTGCGTATAAATCGAATCCGAATAGTTCCGGAAAATTGTGCTATGGTCACTGCCATTCCCCTTCATAAATTAGAGACACACGTATTCGTTTGCAATTAATTAATTTCTAGGTTTTCATCTAAACAGAACGCAATAATGACTAATAAGCAATAAGCTGTAGCAATGACATATATTATTTGGGTGTTTTGACATCAGCACATATTTTTAAATATCGTATTGTTGCTTGCGAAATTTCATAACCTAAAAGCATCTGTTCTGAGCGTCGCTAAGTAAAATCGGATGTGAGCAGCACTTCAATTATCAGCCCCGCTCGCTTGCAAATGATATCGAACAGAAAACTTGCTGGAAATGCGACGTATTTGTTTTCATCATCACAAGTCAATGCACTTTCTGTAAATATATTCACATTAAGCATTCATATCCATATGCATAAGTGTGCTACTAGTATAACTTATTATCTTTCATGTAGCTAACCGGTATATGTGCATGTGCGCACGTAATAAGTAAACGTGTCCGCGACACAGATTCCTATATGCAATTTCATTCATACAAAGGTGCTGACCACTTTTAGGCCACGACGGAAGTACTCCGCAAGTTATATGCAGTACAGTTGAAATTTTACAAATATCAGTTGTAGCAACGGTGTAACGTACGACTACGAAACGGTGGATAAAAAGGGCGCCTAATTGAGACTGAAACCGCATTTACACCTATGGCATTTATTTATTCAACTATAAGTATATGCTTTCGTTGAATATACATCTTACAGTGGGCAAAAGAACAAGGTCAACCCTGATTTTATATTTGTGTTGCCATGGTTCAAGCAAAGACCGGTTTATGTAAGTATCAAGAGATAAGGCCAACAAATAGATATGTATGTATGCGAACTATTTCTGTACGAGTATATGTACACAAGCCTTTGAAACCAAATAGTCTTAATGGAATTTAAATTTATATATTAATTCTTTCGATATTGTTATAAGCTCTTCATACTAAAGTAGGCCACAAATTAGAAACAATTGGTAACCTATTGCAAACAGTTTCGAAGATGCAACACAGCTTCTAACAGATAATAATAATTGACACTTATACAATATACACAATCATTACTATACGAATTTATATTAATGTATTCATTTGTTTATATTTGACCGTAAATAGCAGAATAAGTTGTACCTTGTTCTGAAGAGGATCGTGATACCGCTGACGATGAACTCGCTGAGAGCCTTTCTGAAATGTCTGTTTGTACTGCGACGCTGACTTTCATTTTCGATGACCTTCATATGTGCATAGGGTTGCGTACTATACATAGGGGATTAGATATGTATATATTTACATATAGGGCTCCACTTAATATCGTTGATGATTAATATCACTATGTGCATACATATGTACATATGTACCATATGTATAAATTTTTATTGAGTTGCGTAAGTATAGAGCAAGCCTATTAATATTAGTTTCGTATTCAAAAAGGGGTGCTAGACTTTGTTGCGGTGAAATTGAGGTATTCGCATTTGAGCATGGTCCAACTCTCTGCATTAATTTAATTATTTTTTAAGAGGATTCGTAAGTAAACGACTTAAGGTGAATTCTTCGTCTTTCAAGCGCTTTTTGGAGTTGCTTATCAGCATACCAAAAATTTTTGGTTAGAACTATGCATGCTTAGTCAGATCGTTTCATCCGTTGATATCAGCACATGGCGAGCATTTGTTTACTATTGATATTACGGTAGTCATTTTTGGGTGGCATATCGTACATATGAGTATGAAGTACTTTTTGTGGCGTTTGACGTCGCCCTTTCGTAGTTTCCCTTAGCAGCTCATATAAAACGCTGAGAATCACCCCTCTCACTGATTGTGCGCTGTTAAATTGTTTTGTGTCACTATACTAACAATACATCTCTGATGTCACTACCATATTTTCTAAGTCTTATAATAATTAGGTTTTGCTTCAGGTACCAAACTATATCACAGATTTTTTATTGCTGTAAACTGAGATTCTGCACTTTTGCCAAGGAAAAGAGTTAACCACTTAATGACCTAATTTATCGACATTTCTTCTGCTGTCCACATAAATTGTTTAATATGATGGTACCGAGACACAATAATCAACCACTTTGCTTTCGTGAGTAGCACACACTGACGGAATTGTGGCGCATAACCCCTGTGTTTCTATATTGTACACACTTCTCAACGAATTCAGTTACTCACTCAGCACAGCTGTTGTGTAGCAGTTGTTCCCAAAAATGTTGAGAAATGTAAACACTAGCTGAAGTAAAAAAACATCAAAGAACAATCTGCTTGACATTCCGAATGAAACAACTTAACTCCATCCGAATGAAAATGAAATGTGAAATTAATATAAAAGAAATAGTAAAGTTACGGCAAATTTAGCAAAGAAGCAGAGAACTTAAAACAAACATATTTATGTGATTATCAACTGCCCTTGAACTAAACAACACACAACATAAGCTTAGAGCGTAAACAGAGAGGACAGAGATATGACATTTAACATTTTAACACAAATTTGTACTTAACAGCGCAAAGCTAAAAAAGCTGCAGAGAAATAGCATGAGAGCGATAAATTCGCTCTATATCAGAATACGAGGTTTTCTGTCGAGCTTTTCTTATGCGCTGTGGTCAAAAAACATACTTCCATTCTACAGAAGTTTATTTCTCTTGATACTTTATATTTCATACTTGTAATGTTATTGTTTGCTCTTTCAGTCATTAGGCGTATATGCACGTATATTCATACATATGTACATATATATTACCGACTACCCGTACTTGCTTGCATGCTTGGACGGACATAAAGCATTGGAGTAGAACGTATACAAAGGTGCATAAGTATGTATGTATGTATGTCACTTAGGCAAAAAAAAGCTTTCGTAATATACTATTTCGAGAAAGAACCGTGCATACTATTAAGTAAATATTTCTTGAGTTTAAAAACATAATACTCCATATTTTCGTAGTATGTTTGTGAAATTTAATATATGTATGTATGAAAGCTTTATTTAATTAATTTAGTTAGCAGACTTGCAAAGTGAGCTTTTAACCAATACATATCGTCTAACTTTTATAGTAGTATGAATGTGATTAATTTGTGGAAGAAAATAATGATTCCTTTTATCCGTTTAAAAGATATTAACGATTGAAGTTTGACTATTTAAAGCCAAATTTGTTTTTCTCTTTTGAATTTTATAACTCAATGAAACATTTCCTTATAAAAGGAATCATTATTCTCTTCTTTGTGGAGTATTCAATTTCCGAAATATGTTTTCAAGTATTTAGAAGCGAAATATTCTATCTGATAATAGGACAAAAATAAAAAACCGTTATTCGAAAGACCTTCCCGTTACAATTAAGAGCTCATACTTGGGGAGCATTTCTAAGAGGTGTCTATCGACCAATTTTTAGGAGTACGAAGCAAAAAAAACAATTATTTTTTTACTTACATACATATGTACACACTTACATACATAACCTTAACGGCGTAAAATGTAATATGTAAGTCACAAATTATACACATACAGGTAAAATATTAAAGAGTGTTAGTATCCAAAGAATTACATTTTAACTGGGGATTAAAAATTACAGTATGGAATTTATAAATAAGAATTACCCCCGTTTGTTTTTACTTTAACTAAATATAATTTTTAATTCAACAAATAATTAAATTACAAGTGTGAGCCCTTTACCTACACTATATTTTCTTTAGTTAGTTTTAGTAATGTAATTTAGTAATAACAATGGTGATGACAGTGAGAAATTAAGAGGAAAATGAGCTAATTCACAAGTTGCATATTTAACAAAACACATGAAGAATGAAACAAGCACTACGTTTACTAAGTGTATTCATTTAACGCGAACATAATGCAAAATAGCAAAACTACGAAAAATCAAACGCGTGTATTCATAATTTTAAGAAATAAATAGGCATCTTTATTGGTAAAAATCAAATAAAATTATATGCTTGTCAAATGCATAAGAATACACTTGATTTTGTAAATCTATGTAAGCTCTTTCTCAAAATTTCAATTATTTAGGAATATTGAAAAAATACCGCTTATTTAAACTTATAGATATGCATGTTTGTATGTGTATAAGTGTGTATGGATATACTTATAAAAGTGGGAATGTAAAATAATACATTTATGAAGTTTTAAAAACAAAAGGTCACAATGTATTTACAAATTTCAAAGCTTCAGTTGTATGCTATCCTTTTTGCTTTGCATTATTTAGAAGAATCTTTTGAAGAATGGGATGCTGCAGTTCACCATCGAGTACAAGCTCTTTAGTGTGTTTACAAGAAAACGGTATAGAGTAAAGTACATCAACATATTACTAACGTCCAACAAAAAGTCTATTGTTCGCGCTACGAAACGTGTAATGGGCGCACACTTGCAATCGAGGTGAATACAAAGAGCCAACTCACCTTTTGTCTGGCCGGCACACTGTGCAGATAGCACTGTGCCAGGCGGACCACGTAGTACGGCTTCCAGACACCGTATGTTGTCACGACAAGTGCTAATAATCTCCGTCTGAAATTGTCAAGGAAAGCGTTTTTGTTTCACTATTATCTCATATCAGTATCATTATTTAATAGGTGGATATTCCAACTTACATAATCTTCTGGACGCAATAGATGACAGCGGATCTTTAAGGCTTCCGTGTCTTCCAAACGATTTCTGCTTTGCTGTAGCAAATTTCGCATCTCCTTTTCATCGTCGGAGTCATCGCAGCTCGACGAAGAAGTGGCCGGTATGACTTTGATACTCTTATCAAGGTTGCGCGATGAACGTCGGCGATCGTCAATTTTGCGACGTCGAGTTGATGTGTCGCTTTCAGAGGTACGACGCAACGACTGCGCCGATTGACTCATACCAAATTCCAATTTACGACCAGTTAAATCAGATTTTTTTTGCTGATTCATTTTTTCAAAACCGATCCTAGGAGTAATTGCGTTGACTGAAGATGATGTCGATATGATGGGACTACGCGTATTTTGTGCATCAGTTGAGTCTTAACAAGAGTATATGTAACAATTGAGTTTTGATCATTTCTTAAACAGAGATGCTGAGCTTACCTTGACATGATTTGCGACGGACCTCTAATGTTTTACGTCTTCTCTCGTATTCCAAGTCAAGTGCACGGCGACGTCTGGCATGGTCCACACTGTTAGCAATTGTATCTTGCGTGATCGTTTTCGTGTCTGCTTGTTGCAACGAGTCCATACGTGGTGGCGACAACGAATCCAAATTGTTGGCAGCAGACAGCGACGAACAGCAATCTGACTGCGAATCGATGAAATTTCTGGGAGAGAAAAGTTTATTTATAGTTGGTTGTCATATTAACGAACAACTATGTACTAAAAGTATATAATAAATTAGTCCCAGTGGGAAAAGTATCGCACCGAATCATTGCACATTTTTTTAAATGTTCACTAAGCTGGTATTCGAAGCACTACCACAATAATTGTATGTTGTATTTGCTGTATTTTTTACCTATAGTCATCTCCGAATTCCATAAGTTTCCTGGCTGCATCCGAATCGAAGCCTTCGGAATAATTTTCGGAATTATATTTTTCTTGATAATTGTCCCAAGCTGTCTCTGAAAAACTGCTATGGTGATCTTCGGTGCCAGTGGTGTATTCTGTATTAAATTGAAGGATCCAAATTAATTTGAGCTTTTCAGGTATTTGTATTCTAATTAACAACGGAAGTGCATCGCAGAAGTTAAATATGTTTGAAAATTATCCAGAAATCATAGTCATCAAGATCGGAAAAATATAATATTTATTGGGCCGTTTTACTCTAAAGATTTCGAAAAAAATTTCAAAACTACAAATTTTTAAAGGTTTAGCATTCGTAAAGGTAACCTCGACTTCAGCACTAGAAACATTTTAACTGAGCATAAGCCATATTTAGCTATTCCAGATACACTAGCTCATTACAAATCGATCTTAAATCACGATGTTTGCTGGATGGTATATGTATATTTGATTGTATATGTATACAACCATTTGATTTGCACATTTGATATCTGACAATCGCAAATCCATCGACATGGATACACGATTTATATAAGTTTACTGTAAATTTTTGTATACAAATACACTTTTTTAATTTCTACTGGAAGTGTAGATACCTCGCTGTTTTTGCGGCACTGGTGTGGCAGCTTAAAACACGAAAAAAACATTGCAGTGTGAAAAAAAGTTGACGAGATGAGCAAGAAGTGTGGGCAAATAAAACTAAATATAAAAATTGCCGTGCAACATAACAGAGAAAAAAATCACAGTGATGTCGATTGTACTAACCTCCCTGCTGCTCTTCTTCTTCATCATTCATATAAGTGGCTAAAGCGGCTAACGAACCCAACCGCTTCTCGTTGCGCATATGTGCCGTGGTGTAGGAACCCACTCGAAAATTGGGTTTCATCAACGGGACGCCCTCGTCCATATCTTTATGTGATTGCGGCATGGCGTGCTGTTGTGACTCTTCCAAGGTGTATTGTGCTGTGCCTGTTGCACCTTCATTGAGATTTGTTCCATTACCGCGATGTAGGCATAATAGCGCGCTTGTTATTTCGCGTATTTGCTGCGTAGACATGGACTCACAAGACTTCATGAGCAGCGTTTGTGTGAGTCGAGGCATCGCAGCGGTGTCCTCTGAGCCAGAATCTGGACTTTTCTTAACAACTGAGTGCGAATTTGTCGCGACTACTCCTAAATTCCCAGAGGTTGACATTTTCTTCTTTCGAGTTTTACGGCGTTTCAAAGATCCCTTGCTATTGCTCGATTTTACTTGGATGACATTTATCGTTGATGAGGAAGAGACACGTTGCCGGGAAGGAGACAGAGAGTCCAGCGCTGACTCGCTGATAGAGTGGGTAGCAAGTCCAGTTTGTGTATGGTCTACAACAGGTGCAATCGTCTCTATTGGGACTGTTCCAGTAGTCAATTGTGACAGGCATGATACCGACCATGGTCGTTCTGACTTACGTCGTGACTGAGAGCGCTTCACAATTTTTACATTTAAGCTCTGATTGCTACTGCCGTAACCGAGTATTGGCGCTGAACTGACTATTGGTTCTGCAGAACTTGCAAAGCATTCAGTAGAGTTGCCACCAAATGAATTTGTACTTGTCTGCATGCACGTAGCTATTGACTCTGTAAGCCCCTCTGAAGTATCTGAACCAAGCTGGGGAACAGAATCTGTTTCCGAAGCTTCGCCCGACGCTTCACAGTCATCGCCCGCTTTGGACTTTGCACCACTTTGTAACTCCTCGCTGAGATTTCTATGACCCTGAACAGTAGTTGACGCTGATGGTTGATGCTCCAGCCACTCCTTTCGATACACCAAAGAGATTAAAATTCAATTAGCAAAAGGACTAAATACGTATGTAGTTACTGCGACACCACTTACTTGTACACGTTGCTTGATTGGGCCAGACATGGCGTTCTCTCGTTTCTTCACCGTTGACGACAATTTGATGACGGAATGCTTTTGTTTCGATTTATTAGGGGTCTTTAGTGCTTCGGCATCACGTACTAAATGCTCTGCTTCAAGTACCAGCTGTTTGATTGATTCATGCGAGAGTTTACCCTGGAATCAAAAAATCGCACACATGACAAATGAGCCGCCAATATAGAAAAATAACTTCACGATAAGAGAGCGTAATGCGCGTAAAATGCTATCACAACGAACCAGCGTGTGAATGGAAGTAACTGATAGAGCAATTGAGTAAAAAAGAAAAGAGTACGAGCTCAACTCATTTACTTGAGAGCGGAGGAGCACACTATGGTATCGAATATCTTATCGCCTGTTTGAATGTTACTTCTAAGAAAAGTGAACCGAATCACCACAAGTCAAGTTGTGCGAAATTGTTAACTAATGAACGCACACATTCGAACAAATCTCACACTATTTTCATTGCATTTCAACAATGTGTTTATTTGTCCGTGCTGACAGTAAAAGTATAATATATATTCTAGCACAAGATATATGTACGAGTAGATAATTAGTGTAAAAGAATTAAAGTAGCATATTTTATTCAAAAATAATTAGAGCGCGAAAAGTAACTAACATTTCATTTCCAAAATATAAAGGTCAGCCGCAAAGCAAGCGTTCGTATTCCGAACCCAAATGACAATTGCCCTGTGTTCTCGTATTCATTTTAATACGCCTCAGTAAATTAGATTTCACGTTCACTTAGTATGTTGTATTGTATATGTAAGTATTCGTACTATGCAAGCAGGTATGTATGTATGTGAGCATTTTGATAATGGTTATTTACGAGTTACCCACATTCCTTTAAATATTGAAATAATAACGTTAATGGTTGAATCTGTCAAATTTTCTTTCTTTTTTCAGTTTCAATAACAGCAGAGTTCACAAGAAATAGGATACAAAGCAATTATACAACACAAATGATAATATTTTATGTCCCAAGTACGGGGCTGAGATCAAACGAATAACAGTCGCACACACATTCATTTGGAATTTATGGATTTCAAGTGGATACAAGAAGATGACATTCGCAAGTAGATACTAGTAAAACCAACTCGCACGAGCACTATGGTTGACTGGGTATTGTTAGAGACACCAGTTGATGTCCACATATTTGTATGCATCTACATATGTATATAAATGTGTATGTATACATATTTCATAGCTTGTCCACACTACAAATTATACACTAAACCACACACACATGCATTTGCAACATGCAAACATACATACAGGATTATAAAGCAGCGCAAATGTGATATTTAATTGCAATTCAAAGCGTTTGTGTGTATATGAATATTACATTTTAGTAGCACATGCATTTGCTGCTGTCCGAGCTGTAATTCGTAGTCGCTAATGAATCCATTTTCCCAAATACAACAACTCCAACAAGCGTATAAAGTGACTAAACCAGCGTTACTTGAATGTTTGTGAGGCGACGACAATAAACGGAAACAATTATTCAAAAGCGAATGAAAATTCGAAAATGGTTAAAGCAGTAACAGCTGACGATGGCGATGGCGACGGCGACGGTGAAGGCCGCAACAAGCGAATTTGATAAATCAGTAACAACAGGGAAAATGCTGCGCAAGTTATTAGTAAGAGGACAAGACAAGAGCGCCAATGATCAATACGGAAACAAAGGAGAGGAAGCGAAACACCAGCAGCCAAAGCCGATGTGGCGATTGGGCGGTTGAGATAATTGATTACAATTATTACACAAGTCATTGGACATACTTGGACTTGGGAACACAATCAGCAATTAAAACTCTAAACATGGGAGTTTTAACAAAAACATCGAAACAGGAGAATGCAAACGCAAAGTGCGATTTAACATTTGCTATTTGTGATTTTTCTTTGCCAAAGAAAATTGCCTTATTTTGGACATTCACCGAACCAATCTATTTGCACACATTCTTCACATACATACATAGGTAAAATATAAATGTTCACCCGTTGTGATCCACGAAGATCGATGTGGTCTCCACTGTCGCTGACAGCTAAAGTTTCTCATTTCTTTAGAGATTTGGAATATAATAATTGTCTGCCAATATTGCGCTCCTGGCATTGGATACCAATTAATAAATGTACGTATGTATGTATGTATATACGTACAAAGCTATAGATATGTGTGTGCGTGTGCATCTATATGTATATGTATATGGGAAATTGCATTTGTGTATGAAAGGATGCTAACAGTTCGTGAACGTTCGACAGCTAAAATATGGAAACTCTGATCTTGTGATTAGTTGTCTCACTTAAGTGGGCAGGCGCACGCAAATTCAATCGAAACCGAAACCAAAATTTAAATCCAAATCGAAACACTCGAACTTTGAATGGCTTAAAAACATGCATGTGTGATTTATCGCAGGACCATTTTAAAATAATTGGCACACCAATTTTTTTACCTTTCTTTTTTGCACTTGCAAATTTTATTTGCACAAAGTATTAATGTTTATCAAATATTATACTACTGGCACTTTTGATTTTCCCTTCTGCTTAATTTTTGCACAACTTTCACAACGAAACGGAGCAGACTGATCAGCAGCTGTATGACTTCACCGCAAGACACCCGAAGAGTTTGCGAGTCGAAAGCCAATCGGTTTGCAAAAGTGTTGGCTCCATTTTATTTGTATTTATTAACATTTTAATATCGTTGGCAAACCAGTAAAGGGGTAAAGGGGTGGAAAATGAGGCACACACAAATAATTATAAGTACGAGTATAATATTATTGCCACAGTATTCAGGGCGTGCTCTCGATAAGATAAGCTAGCAAAAATCGATTCAAACCACCACCTAATAACTTGGTAAATGCTTCTATGTATAGACGCTTATGCATAAATTTAAGTTAGCTTTTCGCGACGTGATTTTATCTGCCTTGCTTCGTACTAGTGCTCATTCACCAATGGCTTATGGGTTTTAAATCAGTTAAAATTTAAATATAACCGCACTAAACGGGGCTATATTTTATATTAGAAATAAACTGTCTGTTTACCACATTGATAGATTGATTGACGACTGAATATCTAGCTCTACTCAAGCTGTTTAAATTGGTGTTGCATGCGCAAGTGGCGTGAATAATTTCAATTTCATTCATTGAACAGTGTTTGTTAGGTCTCAAATTTACGAAATATCATTAAAAAAAGGAAAATAGTAAAAAAAAAAAAGAGATACCGAAACGTCAAAGTACAATATTTCATATAGAGTTTTTCAATTTCTATCGAACACTTACGAGTACTCATTTTTAGTGGATTTATATATGTATGTAGGTAGGTAGATAGCAAAAACAAAAACCATTGCGAACTGAAAATAAAACGGGTCACAGTAACCTTGATTCTCCGTGAGGAACCGTTATGTATCTATGACGTTAATTTCAAAATTTAATTAAATTGTGTGTATCTACTTCATCCCTACGTTCAAATACATATATGACAGATAACAAAAGTAACATCATCGCCTTAAAGTTTGCTTATCTCACCTGTTGATTAAAACTCAACACTGTTTTTATCACGTTTAAATGGCGAATCATTAAGGCACTTCGAGATGAAACAAGATAATTTCACTTACCTAACTGTACACCAACACAATGTACTTATATTATATACTTATGTACATTCGCATTCGCTCCTTTTGTGTTGGAAGTAATTGCAATGCAAATTCACTTCAACAAATTCATGTTTCGCTAGGGAATGTGCAAAGTTGCTAGTTGAAAAGTTGTTTCAAATAAATCAGCTGAGCCACAGGCAAGTGTATTTACATACATACATATGTATGTATATACATAGATAAATTTGAACATATTCGCATTCGCACATAAAATTTCGATGTTATAAATACAGCCCCCGGTGGGCTTTCGTGTTATCGTGCGTGGTTGTGGGCTTGGCACCTGAGCGCAAGCACGTTTTCAAGGCTGGTCAAGTCCATTGGCACACGGTTTAGACGCCTCACGCAATGCGTACCTGCGAGAGAGCAACAATATGCATCTAGGCTTGGAAATACATATTTATTTATGCTGCTCAGCTGACCAATTACGTCTATGTTGTGAAATTTTGTTAAGTATTAATGTATTGATTTTAGAAAATTAGTACCGACGTGTTGCTTGCTGCTCTGCGGTAGTAAATTGAATGTGTTGAACAGTTATTATGTAACATGTTGCTACAGAGTACAATAGTTTTATTCACCTAACGGTTGTTTGTATCACCTAAAACTAATCGAGATAGATACGTTTATGTATCTATAAATGATCGGAATGATGATACGATAACTTCAGTAAAAATTAAGATATCTTAATGAAACTTGGTATACCTGTTTCTTGGCAAAAAAAAGTGAGGACGGGTTCGTAGATGGCGTAATCGGACCACTGCCACGCCCACATAATGTCATTAATCGAAAACCAATAAATTGTCATAACTAAGCACTAAATTAAGATATAGTTTTAGTAACAGGGGATTGCAGTAGCCAGGGGCACTTGTGGTCTGAGAAATTTAAAAAGTGGGCGTGGCCCCACCCTCTAATAGATTTAACGTACACATCTCCTAAACTACTAAAGCTGCAATAACCAAATTGGCTTAGGACAAATAATATAATAACCCCAATCGACAGAACTGTTTTGTAAAAAACTACTAAAAGCGCGACAAATCAATAACTATAAATCTGAGAGATACCTATGTTATTGAAATTCAGGGAAAATGTTTCCTTGATAATAATATACGCTTGTGACAAAAATGGGTTGAATCGGGTCAACACTTCCCTTAGCCCTCAACTTCCAGTTGACTTTATACCACATATATCGGCATGTTGGGGGTATTTTAATGACATTGAGAGACCGTATTTTGTAACTTTGTGCCTAAATTAATAAAATCGGGCGAAAAATTGCCTAGGCCCCTTGTCACTGATATTCATCATTTTGAAACATCCGGCTGACTTAACTCCATATATTATATATGTTTACTTTTACCATATATAATATATTAATAAAATTGCATAAAAATATGTTCTCAAGTATACATGAACAATGTCAAAAATTAATGCAATCAGCCCTTCCATTACTCTGCCCCCAATAACCCTATATTATGATTACTGACTTTAAACCCTTTAGGTTGGCCAAAATGTGTGATATTTTAATAAAATTAAGTGGCTCAATATAAATTAAATTGGTCTTGGTCTAAACCTCATATTCCTAATTTAATGAATTGCGATCCTCTGGTTGACGGTTTCACATCAACTAGTTATATTAAATTTAGCTATTTCGGTTGTATATATAGTAAAAACTAAGTGAGCCTATGACGTTCAAAATAAGTTAATATAATACCTTCACAATTTCGCCGAACAATGAAGTTGAACCCTTTCGATAAAATTTTCATTATAAAGTTTGGTCAACACCTGAAGGTATATAGCCGGCTTTGATCCTTGCAATTTGCAAGAGTATAAAATGTTCTGTTACACCCTAACTTAGCCCTTTCTTATTTGTTTTATATACCTTTGTCACATTAGTTGGGCTAAAGTTGTCGCCTTGTGCTGTTGACTGCAGTGATTTTTCCGGTTTGAATGTGGAGTGCGGAGGCAAAAGAATTTTCTTACTTTCCATTTTCTGCATTTGCTGATGTTGCATTGAAGTTTTATTTGTGGGATCAATAACAGTTTTAGGGTGCCAGCAAACGGAATAAGACATTTCATTCTGAAATAAGTTACATAAAAAGTTATTTTTTAAAAAAAAGTTTTTCTTTGAAACTACTATTTAAAATATGTAAAGGTTTATTTCTGTAATTAAATGAGGCCCTTTGAACATATATCGACGTTTTCAATTTTTGGCGGTCTTTCATTAAAAATTAGTATACGGATATTGATTAAGATTGTTGAGATATTGGCACATAGTCATTCACCTTTTGATTATTTCCACTTGAAATAAGTGCTTGATGGGGTAGCTGCTGTTGATGCAATACCACAACACTCTGGTTATTATTAGCGTTATGATTTGCATTGTCGTCCCTCTTGATAGCGTTGTTGTTGCTTGCATTGCAGTTATCAACATCACCGTTATTATTATTGTTATGGGAATTATTGGTGGTCACAGCGTTGCTCGCACCATTGTCCGTCATATGCTTGGATTTATTACCGTTGGCATCGATTTGCAATTCCATTTCGGTGCGATGCACGCGTTGGAAATGCATTTGTGTGATTTGCGTTGTATTAGTAGCTGATGTCGTCTCTGTCAGCAGATCGTTCGAGGAACAGCTACTACTTCTGGTGCTGTAGCTGCTGCTGCTACCACTGCCGCGACTGGCGGCGAAGTGTTTTGCTTTAAATCGACCTGCAGGCAGTGGTGCCGTTTCCGCTGCCGAAGTTGTGGATACTGGAGTCAATTGTATTTCGGCGTGTGCGATTTGTGTGCAATTTTGTGAGGACGGCACAGAGCTTATATCGCAAGATTGTGCGCAAACATTCGACACCGGTAATGTGGTTAGTGCCGTATTGGACAGTGTGGCAGAGCGGGCTTCCTTGTTTTCTTTATCTGAGTCGTCATTAACGACGTGGTTCGCTGTTGGTGTTGTAGTTAATGCTGAGCTGGATGTCACGGCTGACGACTGGATGCCATCAATGACAATAGTTGTGATGCAGATGTTACTTTTTTCGTCGATATCTACACCACCGCATGCGCCAGTGCCCTCTTCCCTTTGTGGCGGTAAGACAGATGAGTATAGCCAGCCACCGTCGTCATCAGATGACGCGTCAGCCGATTTCAACAAATGGTGCTAAATAAGTTAAAACAATGACGTAAATATGTTAACGAACACAACTACCAATTCTATCATCAGACACAAGAATAAATGACATATACAAGTAAACAATACAGCGATTTATAGAATGTATGTTAAATATTTTGGATACAAATGCATATTAGTACTTTGTGTATGTCATGAGTGCTGCATGCATACAGTAACATGCAACAGGCGGAACAACAGCAAAGAGAAGGAGCAATGAAATATAATTACGATAGCGTTTTGGTACTAACTGCGCCAGAGCAAAGGCGTTCGTATGGGTCGCGAAATTTCACATACTCATCTTAAACATTTAGCACTTCCCATTTGAGAGCCGTTGCCGAGTTGATCGTCTTACAAATACTTCCTATACCTATCACTTGTCTAGTAAGTAAATGTAACGATTCACGAAAAAACTTATAATCCCGATAAAACTTTCATCGCGCCTGCACAACCTTTGTCTGTTGCGATGTGTGAGACTTCAACTAAACCTAATCAGTATTCTCTATACTTACACACTTCTTACTTAATTTATTTGCGTTTGAAGACCTTCTATATCGTCCTCTTATTGAGAATATGTACAAAACTTTGATTATTGACTGAGTGTACCAGAAAAGTATAATTTCGCGTTGAAGCCGAAAACAATCAGATTTTAATTCAGCTTGGAAAAATGAGAATGTTGGGAATTTGTATAATGTACATTTGTCTGCAGTGATTCAGAAACACGGTGGCTAGATAGGACACCAACCTGTTTTCAATACCACACCAAACACATACCAACGTTTGTGTAAAAGTACCATATGCATTACTATAACCAACACCACTCGTTTTTAGTGGTACTTACTTCGCTTGTTTGTGAATTAGACGAGGATAAACCATCTGCTGTGGTGTTAAAATCAGCGGCGTCGCCCACGCTGCTGCAGTTAGTTTCGTTGTCCGTATCCAAATGTTTGAAGTAGAAAACGGCACAATTTTTCGACTTACGATTTGATCGATTAAATTTTGAGATGTCGGTGTGGTGCTGTGTCTGCCGCTTGCGTAAGACGGTCGGCGATTTATTGTTGTGACTATTCGGTGATATGATTGCGATGCTCTTTTGCTTAATCGGCAGACCAGTCGTTGTGTTATTGTGTAGTGTTTGAAGTGCCTGCGGGGTCTGCGTGCCCGCGGAGTTGGCGTTAGTTTCATTGGCAGTGGTGGTGGTGATTGTGGCGGCCACTGTTGACGCGCTCATTGAGACTAGTTTTCGTTTTTCAACATTTGCTTTAAGCATATTCATTTTCGTTTTCATCGAAATTGACGATGCGCGGACCGACGCGCTTTCATGCTGTTTATTTGCAATCAAACCGTCGATGTCATCTTGCTCCAGGTAAGACTCGAATGTTGCACTGGAGGAGGTGTGTATATTAAATGGTAATTGAGCGACCTTGCTGCCTACGTCTTCGATTATCGGCGTGACGATTTGATTTGAATTGGTTGGAATTTCTTTGTTGAATAACTGCATTCGGTTGCCAACGACCTCGTCGTCCGACTTCTGAGTAACCACTTGCTGCGCAGTTGTCTCCCAGTCGCTGTTCTCAGAGTCAGCCTCGAAATCAGTGAGAGTGGTTGGTCGTGATGGACCACTAAGGCTGCCTCGTTTCTCAAATGTAACCAATACAGTGCTATAGCCCCGTGGCGGCCTATCAAAGCGGGAACGGCCAAAATCAACTTCGTCGTCGTCCTCGTCTTCTCCTTCGTCGTCCCCGTCTTCGCAGTCACCCTATTTAGTAATGTTAATTTTACGGTTGAGGTAAAAGAAATAAGCACAAAGGGTTTTAAATGAAATTTTGAATTGTGGTCCATCCAACGTCAAAAATTACAAATAAAAATTTTAGCTCATACGTTTAACGCCTTACACAACAACTTATTTAGACATCAGTAGTTTTTCAGAGCACAGGGCAAAAGATTTCAATAAAGTTAAACACCAATTTTTTTTTTCCAATTGTATACTTTTGTATTTAAACATATTAATTTTTCATCAACAATGCTTCGAAGTTGTCACATGCCAATATTTGAAGCAACGGGTCGACAACATCTCTTTTCTGAATCATTTGTGATGGAATGACAGTTGCTAGAACTTACTGATGAGCTTTTATTCGGAATTGTTCTGAATTATTGTCTAGTAGAATTGATCTAGATGTTTATGTAACATGCATGTATACATTAGTTTCTTATGAGACACCTAATTATTGGAAACATTTAGCAAAGCAAAAAATAATCCATGCAAACGCTGCTAAGAACACACGGCAGCCAAACAAATTTTTGACACATAGCAAAACCAGCGAAAATAGCATTTAGTATCTAGGCAGTGGGTTAATTTACCTTTTCGGCGACGCGATTTTCCTCCTCAACCAAATCAATACAATCCCGCAGCTCCCCAATTGAAGAAGAATTTTGGGTGATATCGCTTTCGATTCCCGAACCGATAATATTTAGGTCGTCCTCTGTTGCAGCCGCCTCGTCTTCTTCACAGTCGGATGAGTGACAATTTACATTGTCGTTGTCATCAATATAACCGGCAGCATTAACAATGCTCTAGAAAATACAAAACATAAGTCAATATTTTAAAACAAAAATTTGATAGTTTAGACAACTAAGCTAATATTTATTTTACCCTTTGGTGGTTTAAATGCTCGTTTGCTATTTTCGTTCTGTGTTAAGGACCATATTACCCCGAGTATAGTACACTTGTGCGTTTGTATTTTCTTTCCTTTTTTTATTAAAAGGAATGAGGTAAGCAATTTTTTACCTTGATCCATATTAGGTACTTTGTATATATACTTGAATCCATTTACACATGTTTATACAACCTTTGTTTTTCTCTAAATATTTTATTGTTTCGTAATAACTGAAATTTTGTTTATTGGTCGGTCCAAATGTTTATGAAATAGTTAACATAAAACATAAACCTGCATAGGGGCATTTAGAATACTTTTAACATAGATAGTGTATCCACTAATACATATTTGAGACACATTAAAATAAGTATTTGCAATAGTAGAAATTCACAATGGAGCGGCTTCAGGGTTATTACAAGTATTTAGATTATGACACAAAAAATCATTTCTGGCGCTAAACTAGTATTGGTTAGATCACATTGGGGATACCACCTCTCAACACTTATATAGCAGTCCTCGTACTTAACAATTACTCACGCATGCCCTTACACGAAGATTAATGGCCACCAAACAGAAAATATAGATACACTTACTTTCTATTGTAGATACACATACATACTTATATAGATGATGCTTTTTTAATTTTGAAGGCAAACCAATGGCCATGTACCCAATTTTCTCGAGTAGATCACTAAGAAAATGAGCAACTCGTGGCTGATTTTGGAAGTTTCGTAAGATCAGCTAGTTAATTATATTGAAAACTTATAATTCGAATATTTCGGTCTAACACATTGGGATTTCATATGATAAGTGTACTATAGCTACGTAGCATGTATGTGCAGATGATGTTTTTGTATACGAACCGATTTATAGCATTCATTTAGTACTAGGGACGAGTAAAACTACTTTAAAACCTATTTACACACATACTTATATTCGTACGAATGTTTGAATGGCCTAAATCCCAGGGGAACATTACTTATTATATATACAGACACCTTCGTTGGGCAATTCTGTTCAGTCCAAGAAACATGGGGCGTTGTGAATGTCGTGTTAACCATTTCGAAGGTAGAATCAACCGGTAAATAAAGATAAGAATACGATTTTGGTTTCTTAAATTTTAAATATAATACGCATCATTTTATGTGGTTTGTACTCGGAAATATTTTGAAAGATTATACAAGTTTATTTATATTAAGCTACGCTTAAGTAAAAATTGTTCTATAACTTCGCAGACAAGACCTAATGTCCGAATTTCTAAAACACATGGTTGGCGAAGAAATAGGATCGAACTACATAAGTATGTTACATACAAAGGTGCTGTCATACAACCGAGGTTAAATCAAACATGAAGTAATGTACTTCGAGTATATATTTGCAGCATACATATAATTTTGTTGGACTCGTATGTATGAAATCAAGAGTGTTGTTGTTGACACAAATAAGCGACGTGTATAGTTGTTATACCTAACGGGTTCTGTTGTTGTAATAGCTGAAACATTAATTAAAATTCGGAAAACATTTATTTTTTCGTGAGAAAATTACTTATCGGTTCAGAACAAAAAATCCAGCGCCAACCACAAGCATTGTTTAATAAAGCTCAATGAGTATTGGCAAGAAATCTTTAGCACATCTTCAATAGTTTTTGTTTCTTAGGTGCTTGCAATTAGAGCGCGGATGTCGGAAGCCATTACCTTACCAAAAGATTAACAACAATTTTAAATTTAGTTGTAAATTTCCTCCACCAACACGCAGAAAAATAGTTCGGGAGTTTACGTGTGTATTCTTAGGGTCACAAAAGTGAACAACCTTTGCCCGTTTTACATTTTACAAAATTATTTATTTTATGTATGCAAATACGTGTATTTTATATGAATGACTATTAGACTCATTTACTTATATTCGTATACTTAAGTTGAACAAATATCCACGAAACGATTTATAAAAATGAAAAATAACTCAACTCTTTTCAGAAAATATAATATTAGACCCGTGGTCACACGACAACATCAACATAGTTCTCAGAACGACAAAAAATAGTGCAACTCATCTCTGCTCCTGTCATATGAGTCATGATTTAAGACCTTGTACATAAAAAAAAATAACCGTGATGATCTCGTTCCATACGTCTAATTCATGTCCAACGCGCAATAGAAGTGGTGACGAGGTCATCGATTCCACGAGTTGCTAATGTTACAGGGCTTCATTAACTAATACTAGCACTTAAACATACAGTCAGCGCATGAACTTTTACTGACTGCAGCAGCTTTAACAGTAACAGCCGCTGCCGTCTGAGACTCGGAAGGCACTAGAGTGACTACCGGCAAATAGCGGTTAAGGTCAGTGCTCACCGTTGACCATTAGTGATCGATTTAATTTAACATGTAAATGACATTTAATTTGAGTGGACTCTTCCCTAAAACTGACATTTAGTGGTTTGAATTAAATATCTCCGCTATACACACGGATACATAGCGAGCTCAGGTAGCAGTAACTAAACTTTTACTCTTGAATCAGCAAAGTGTAAAGCCATATAAAACTGTGAAAGTTTCGGTCAAGCTAAAATGCCTGTGGTTTGAAAGTTGTGAATTCAATGTGATGTGGTTTGATTGATTCCACACATATGTATGTATATCTCTCAGTATGTACAATATACATGTATCTATGATATGCATGTATGTACATACGAATGTAACCAAGTATCTTGCCATATAAGTAGAACAACGGCCGTCAAACGGCGAATGAAATGTGAAGCGTCGATTCTTAAACCATTTCTACATTTAACACGGAGATAGTGAAAATAACACCTATCCCAAAAGCTGTTGCTCACTGTGACGTGCTCTGTAAAACCTGTTAAAGCACCGACAGCTGTAATCCACAAAGTAGAGCACTGAACATTTGTGTATATGGCGCGCATGCACCTCTATTTAAATATATAAGCCACCAAGCATCTTAGCTTTTACTAAAAAATGATGTGACTTTGACGTATTTACATAAGACTATTTATATTACACTTGTTGGGCGAGACGATTGGGGCGCAGTTTTTTGTGTGCAGTGAGCTTAACAAACAATTGTGAGGTCTGCCTGTGTGTATTAACCCGATAGAAATTTCTTGGAACACGTTTATGTATCGAAACATAATTTTTAAATCAATTTTGATCAACATGATAGCTTGTGATTAATAACTTACTGACAGCTATGCATTATCCGTAAACATTGTACTTAATACTTATCAAACTTACCGCAGTCGAACTTTTCTTGCGCAACAATCCGTCCAACCAAAGCTGTACTTCGAACGCCTTCAAATATAATAAATGATAACGGTTCTGCAATCGCTCCAAACTATCCTCAGTAATCTTAGTTTCTGCTGTTCTTTGCGGGGATGCCGTATTCGGTCTGATAAACGACGGCCCAGGCGAGAACGAGGACTTTTCCGCAGTTTCAATGTCGCTGCTACTACTAGCACCGCTAAATTCGTGATTGATCTGCTCTTTAGCTGTGGCTATTGTCAAAGTTGTTTTTTCGTTGGATGTGAGTGATGAATTTGTTTGCTCTGCGATTGTGGTGCTGCAACTATCGACCGATTGCAGCTGCTGTTCCTCTTCGTGCTGTTGTTGCAGTAGCACCTGCCCTTGATGCTCCTCTGTTGCCGAGCGAATGCAGGCGCTTACCACTCGTGCATGTGATACGATTTCATGGTATAACACCTGAAATTAAATCAAAGTTATTTAAAATTAATATTACTATTACCATTTAAAGTTTCGGAAAATGTTGCCAGCTATTTTATAAAACTATTTAATTCACAACACTTGCAATTGGCATATCAGTGCCTAGTTAACTATATACATTTACTGTTCACGGCATTTATGCTTGTATATAAAAGAAAAATACTAAATCCATTAATACTTCGTACTAACATTACATAGGTATTTATGTTAGAGCGGGTCGATTTATTTCTCTATAAAATCGCGTATACTGGAATTCTGAACAACTTTGCCTAAGAGAATATGGGTCTGAAACCAGTTTCGAGCCAGCGATTTTTTAGG